CAGTCGGACGGCGACCGGGACCTGCAGGAGCACCGGCAGCGCATCCAGGCGCTGAGCGAGGAGACGGCGCAGAGCCTGAAGCGCAACGTCTACCAGAACTACCGGCAGTTCATCGAGACAGCGCGCGAGATCAGCTACCTGGAGAGCGAGATGTACCAGCTCAGCCACATCCTCACCGAGCAGAAGGGCATCATGGAGGCTGTCACCCAGGCCCTGCTGCTGCAGGCCGACCGCGACGACCCCGCGCTGGGTGCCCGCCGTGCCGCCACCGACTCTCACGGCAACAACCCCTTCCTGCCCCTGTCGGCCAAGGAGGTGGCGGCCAGCGAGGAGGGCCGGCAGCGCAGGCTCACCACCCTGCTGGAGAAGGTGGAGGGCTGCCGGGATCTGCTGCCCGAGAGCCCCGGCAAGTACCTGGTGTACAATGGGGACCTGGTGGAGTATGACGCTGACCACATGGCGCAGGTGCAGCGAGTGCACGCCTTCCTCATGAATGACTGCCTGCTGGTGGCCACCTGGTTGCCCAACCGGCGTGGTGCCTACCGCTACGACGCCCTCTACCCACTGGACGGGCTGGCCGTTGTCAATGTCAAGGACAACCCGCCCATGAAGGACATGTTCAAGCTGCTCATGTTCCCCGAGGGCCGCATCTTCCAGGCTGAGAACGCCAAGATCAAAAAGGAGTGGCTGGAGGTGCTGGAGGAGACCAAGCGGAGCCGCGCCCTGAGCGAGAAGCTGCGGCTGGAGCAGGAGGCTCTGCCGCGGGCAGCCCCGCCCTCTCCAGAGTCATCCAACCCCTTTGAGAAGGATGAGGATGAAGTGGAGCCTCCACCTGAGGAGGAGAAAGTGGATCTGTCCCTGGAGTGGATCCAGGAGCTTCCTGAGGACCTGGATGTCTGCATCGCCCAGAGGGATTTTGAGGGTGCAGTGGACCTGCTGGATAAGCTAAACGAGTATTTGGCAGACAAGCCCATCAGCCAGCCGGTGAGGGAGCTCCGGGCGAAAGTGGATGAGAGAGTTAGGCAGCTCACGGATGTGCTGGTGTTTGAGCTCTCTCCAGATCGCTCACTGCGTGGTGGGCCAAGGGCTACCCGCCGGGCTGTCTCTCAGCTCATTCGCTTGGGTCAATCAACCAAGGCTTGCGAGCTGTTCTTGAAGAACCGGGCGGCTGCTGTGCACACGGCCATCCGTCAGCTGCGCATTGAAGGTGCCACTCTGCTGTACATCCACAAGCTCTGCCACGTGTTTTTCACCAGCCTGCTGGAGACTGCCAGGGAGTTTGAGACGGACTTTGCTGGTAACAGTGGCTGCTACTCTGCCTTCGTTGTGTGGGCACGCTCTGCCATGAAGATGTTTGTAGACGCCTTCAGCAAGCAGGTGTTTGACAGCAAAGAGAGCTTGTCAACTGCTGCTGAATGTGTGAAGGTAAGCACGTATAAGAAAGGCAGCACAGTCCAGTCGATTGAGCAGAAACCTGGAATTCTGCAGCCCTGGATGTCTCGTTCTCCCTCAGCTTACTTACTGTTTTTGGGCAGGAGGTGGTAAAACATTCACCTATAGCTTTTCTTCTTTAGTAAAGGGAGGGTGTGGAGGGCTTTGCATTGCCTTTCTTCTGTTTGTGTTTTGCCCCACTATTATCAGAAATGCTGGTTTTGGCCTTACTTAAAAGAGTGGGAGTATTGGAACTTTAGCAAAGAATCCTTTTCTACAAAATATTTATTGGATTGGATTTGAATATGCCTTAACATAGGCTTTTAAGAAAAATACTGAACTCCTTTATTTCCCAGTTGCTAAACTGTGACATCTTTATCATAATTATGTTTCATAGTTTCATAGTTGATAGGGTTGGAAGGGACCTGAGCAGATCATCAAGTCTGACTCCCTGCCACGAGCAGGAAAGAATGACGGGATCAAATGAACCCGGGTAGGCGATTTATCTAGCCTCCTTTTGAAGACCCCCAAGCTAGGAGCGAGCACCACTTCCCTTGGAAGTTGGTTCCAGATCCTAGCCACCATGACTGTGAAGTAATGCCTCCTGATGTCTAGCCTGAAGCTACTTTCAATCGTTTCTGTAAAACACTACAGACATTTATGATAGACAGGATCTGTATTTAAAAAAGTCAGATACATAAGTTAAAGAGAGGCAGAATAAAGTGCAGTGTGTATTCTTTTCCAGACTCGTAATCACTGCCTTATTTTTCAGGTATGCAAATTAGGACTAAGAATTACCTATTTTTATGGGTGTTGGGGTGGTTAAGTAGCTTGTGTCTATGTGGCATATAGATAAGTATTAATAATGATGTTTGTTATTGTAGGTAGCTAAGGAGCACTGTAAGCAGCTTAGTGAGATTGGACTGGACCTTACCTTCATCATTCACACCCTGCTGGTGAAAGACATCAAAGGTGCTCTGCAGAGCTACAAGGATATCATCATTGAGGCCACCAAGCATCGCAACTCTGAAGAGATGTGGAGAAAGATGAACCTGATGACTCCCGAGGCTCTGGGAAAACTTAGAGAGGAAATGAGAAGTTGTGGTGTGGGCAGTTTTGACCAGTACACAGGTGATGACTGCTGGGTCAATCTTAGCTACACTGTGGTTGCTTTTACCAAGCAGACTATGGCCTTCTTGGAGGAAGCACTAAAGCTTTACTTCCCAGAATTGCACATGGTTCTCCTGGAAAGTCTTGTGGAAATCATCCTTGTAGCTGTTCAGCATGTTGATTACAGTTTGCGGTGTGAACAGGACCCTGAGAAGAAAGCATTCATCAGGCAGAATGCATCCTTCCTGTATGAAACTGTTCTTCCTGTCATAGAGAAAAGGTTTGAGGAAGGAGTCGGAAAGCCAGCCAAGCAGCTACAGGATCTGAGAAATGCTTCAAGACTTATGCGTGTAAATCCTGAAAGTACAACCTCTGTGGTGTGAAATGAAATGCTGTTCCCTTCAGAAGGGTCTACTATGCACTTCTAGATAATGTTATCTATGGACATATCTTTAAAATTTTTCCAAGTCTTTCAAAGCCACAGAACTCCAACTGCAAACTTTCTGATGCTAAAGACTTATGAACAAACTTTGAAAGCAAGTAAAAGGGAAAAAGTTTTTTAGAGAAAAAGGAGCATTGGGTTAGTCTTGCTTAGGATATCCCTTTCCCTGCTTAACGGTGCCTATTGTGGTGTGTTAGACTGAAAAGAAATCATGATGATAGTACATCATTCTTCTCTGGGCCAAATAAACTATTGGTGAAGTATGATAAATAAGTAAAAATGTGTACCTTTTGCAGAAATGAAATATAATCTGTAGTCACATGTCAAATAACATGATTTAAAAATACTGCAGTGTTTCCAAATGAGTGTAATTGCTTGGTTTACTGTATGGGTGTGGTACTTGGTGAAGCTCATCTCCCTTCCAAACATGACAGCTCCATGGATTAGCAAATGCATTTGCACAACTGGCATTATGATATAACGAGGCAGGCAGTTTCAATTATCAGAAACACAGGAAACATTTACTTCAATGAAACACTGAAATTAAAAATCTTATTTCAGAGAGAACATTCATTTATGCAAGTTTTAAAGGAATATTCTTAACTTACATCACATCACTTTGAATATATTCTACCTACTACTAGAAAAGCTGCATGTAAGATTCTGAAAGAAATTGCAATTTTTTCACTCGTTTTTCCAATTGAATTCAGTGGGAGTTAGAGTAGGTTCAATATGTAAAGCGCAAAGTTTAGTTTTAGTTTTAGGAATAGTTCACTGAAATTCTATTGTCTGCCTGTAGAAGTCTCAACAAAGAGCCCTTGTTTCAAAACAAATGAGATAGCATTATGCAAGAGGAAGGGGAACGTATTACTTTACATTTGGGAAACTCCTATCTTTGCTGTACAAGTAACACTTATTAAATAAAATAAATGAAGCTTTTCTTAAATAGACATGCAAGAGCACATATTTAAATTGCTGCAAATTTGTTAATATTGCTTCCTGTATTACAGTAATTGGCTAGCCCGGTTCTATTTTTTAAACAAAACATTATGATTGCTTCTGAGAATTGGAGGTTCTTACATTACAGCCACTATGCACCACAGACTTCCCCAGAATATCCTGTCAAATGTGCTTTAGCAGTAACCAGGTTTTAGCAGGACCATGTTTAGTGATGAGACTTTTTAAAATGAATATACTTGGTTTCATTGTGTAGCCAGCCAAGGTGCCACTTTCACAGGATACATACATGCACGCACGTGTGCGCACACACTTTCACATATACACATTCGTGCACCTGTTCACTTAGATTTGAGCAGTGAACCACCATTTCATTCCATAGTGATTTCTGAAAGGAGAGCACAACTTACTCTTGACTCAGCCCATTTACCTGTCTTTGACCAATCTTGTAACCATAGGTCATTTTAGTCATGAAAAAGTGATGTTAAACAACTGTATGTCAAATCTCTGTAGGCTCTCCTTAACTGGAATGTTTGAGTTTCATACTTTTTGTGCATTTTTGAACTAGTGCCTCCTTTAAATAAGACTCTTAGTGATTCATGTCATTGTGATGGATGCCTTATAAATGCATGCAATAACAAATATTTAATGAGTAAAAACTCCTGAACAGCTGCCTATATTGGACTCTTTGTGTTTCCAGCTAGGTGTATTTTATCTTTATTTTGAGGGCTGGTTTCCACTCTGGTGATTCTTGAATTCCTGTTTTGCTTCCAGGTTATATAGGGCATCCTTCTGTTGCAGTCATTTCTTCTCAGAATTATAGCTGGGTCCACTCTAAATGTATTTTGTATGTCAAAATCATAGGAAAAAATATTAAGATTTTTCTATAGCAAAGAATCCTTTCTGTGTCCTACCTTAGTTGAAGGTGATAGAAGACCACTAAAATATTCCTCTTATTCTAAATTACAGTGATGATGAGAATTATAGCTCAGGATATAATGTTAACTCCACAATGTGCACATCTGCTGGATTTATTTAATTACTGAATTCTGTTTTTCATAGTTTACCAGTCAAGAGTGGTTTGGTAATTTATCCACATCTGCTATGTTCTATGACAGTGGTTCTCAACATTTTTTGTACAGGACCCATTTGTAAGCATCGATGGCCAGTCCGGAACCAGTGCTGCTTGTTCCCGACCTGCTGCCCTCCAGGGCCCAGCTTCCCAGCATAGGAACGTGGGTGCGGGGATGGGGATGGAGGGCCCAAGCAGCCCCTTTCAGCCTGGAGTTCATTTTTCTCCTTTAAAGAATCCATTTTTAAAGTTTGTTTGTGATCCTTTCATATATTCTTGCAACCTACTTTTGGGTCGTAACCCATGAGCTGAGAAATGCTGTTCTATGACATATTTATGTAAGTTAAGTGATATGTTAGATGGATCAGCCTTAGTGAGTTTAAGTTTGGGATCCATTTTAAAATTGGTTGTAAAAGAGAATCATATATATTAGGGCTGTCAGTTAATTGCAGTTAACTTCAGTGCAATTAATGCATCGATTTTTTTAAACAAGTGTTAATTGCATACATCGTGCTGCTGCTGGCCCCAGCCCCGTGGTACTGGTGGGGACCCACGTGTGCAGCCCTGACCCCGGCCTACCCTGTGCCTGCTCCAGACTTAGTCGGGCAGAGCGGACCAGCCAGAACCTGCCCACACAGTCCTGACCCCATCCTGCCTTGAGCCTGCTCTGGACTCATCCACCCATGCTGGGCAGCAGCAGCAGTATCGGTGGTCAGGCAGAAGCTGCTGCTCATCATGGGAGAAAAGTGGTCCCTCCCCCTTGCCGCTGCTGGGCCCTTCTTGCTGTAGATGCCTGGAGCCCGTGTCCATCTCTGCTGTTGTCACTGCCTCCTTCAACCACCTTGCAGGGTAGTGGTGGCAGTGCAGAGGAGCTGTAGGTCAGTCCGGGCACAGGCTCCAGGCAGCTGCAGCAAGAAGAGCCTGGCAGTGGAAAGGGGGAGGGGTGCTTTTCCCTCATGCCAAGCAGCAGTTTCTGCCCAGCCACCGTTGCTGCTGCTCAGCATAGACAGGTGAGTCTGGAGCAGGCACGGGGTGGACCAGGGTTGGGGCTGTTCGCACAGGTTCTGGCTGGTCTGTTCTGGTGGGTGCAAGTCTGGAGTGGGCGCAGGATGGGCTGGGGTCTGGGCTAGGGCTGTGCGCTGTTTTTGGGAGGGAGGAGTCACAGGGCGCACAGGCTCTGGGTTGTTGGGTTGGCAGGTGGGGGCTGCTGATTATTGTTTAATTGCGATCAAAATCATGATTAATTGCAACTATTTTTTTTTAATCTTGCAATTAATTGCATTTAATGTTTTTAATCATTTGTCAGCCCTAATGTGTGTGTGTGTCTGATGTATATTATTTACAGCTTGTTTCAGTCCAAAAGAAAGCACCTTTCATTAGGAGTGCAGAATAATATACTGAAGAATTTGAACTTCTTACAGTTCAAGAAGGGTAATCTAATTCAAACCCTGTTTTTTCACTGCAGAAGGTTTGCTGTAGGAAGTTAGGCTGCAGCTTCCTAAATCAGGATTTTCTAGCCCTAGCAGAAGTGATAATAAGAGGAGGCCATAACAGAGGAGGTGTAATATCCCTTGCTGTCAGCAGAGGATTGGACATAGAAGAACTTAATTCTGTTTTGACCCCAAGCCTCTTAATGTGTCCTCCCCTCTGTCACCCTACCAATGTCATGTTGTAGAACAGCTGGCAAAGGAGACAGGATCTCTGGACAGTAGATGCGAGAATCCAGGACTTTATTCATTTACGTGGCCAAGTCTTCTGGTTACTTGACTCTTACAAATCAACAGATTCATTTTTGTGCACTGGGGTTTGAGCTGTCAGAACTGCAGTGGGTAGCACTGGCATGTAGTAACTTGTCCTGTTTATGGCTGAGAATTTATATAGGGTAAAATAAATTAATTAATTCTGAGGCAAGTTTCATAATTAAGTATGTATGTTAATTAAAATAGATATTAAGACACATTTAAAAATTAATTTAAAATACATTTCAGATTTATTTGTAGCAATGGTAAGTGGCACTTTTCCCCTGAATCTGTATGCAGGGAGAGATGGTATCGTGTAAGTTAATCTTAGTTTTGGAATTTGTAGTAATTGTTCAGGTAAAATAACAAATTAATTTTGTTGGTTTGGGAGGAAGGTAGTCACATTTCTGCTACTAGAATACTTTTTCATTTAGAGATGAAAAGCTTGATGATTCCTCTAGCTTCTTTAACAAAATTGTAAACTTCTGTATAAAATTAAGACATTGTTACTCAATGAGTTGATGTGTATCATAGAAGTTAATGTAATAACATTTCTGAGTGGAGAGGAACACAAAATAAGTATGGGTGTAAATTTTGAGTCATCAGAATAGAAATGATGTTACATTACCAACCTCTTAATCAGGAAAAGAACGCTGAGGATTTAATCCAAAGATTATGGAATGGTCCATAGAAAGATTCTGAGTGATTCCCAAGTGAATCTTTTCAAGATGAAAGAAGTAACTAAATAATAAAAACATAATAATTGGTCACTTCTGCCACCTACATAAAAACAGCAATTTATACAACAAGATACAAAGTTTAGAGAAACAATTTCTTACCACTCTAAATCAGTTATACTCAACCTCTGTTCAAAAGACCAGATCCAGCATGTGGAGCCATGTCATCTACTTTGTGGGTCTCCCTGCAAGCCTGGAAATTTTTTATCTGGAGCGATGACAGGATCCCACCTGCAGCAGCAATGCAGCAGGCTTGATCCAATGGTCTGGGGGCATATAAATTGGCAATCCCTGCTACAAAGACTACCTCTAAGGCCTCTTTTACACATTACAGGTATTGTGCAATTAACTGATCAAGTGCATAATTACTTTAAGGCCAGCCACACATGCAAAGTACTTGTCTCACAATGAAAAGCTCCAACCAGCTATAAAGTTAGACCTTGAAAATGTGTACTAACTTTATAGCTGGTTGCTATCGAGCTTTCATTTGCATGTGTAGCAGGGTCTCCCCTGTGGCTGGGATCCCTGTCAGCTGAGAGGGATCCCAGCTGCAGGAGTGCACCATGCCTAGCGTGAAACCCCCAAGCTTTAGGGATCGCAGGTGCTGCAACCCCCAGGGCCCTGGGAATTTCATCTCCCCCCCCCCGAGCCTGGGTGATCACAGCTGCCACAATCCCTCAGCCCAGGGGATGTGAGGGGAACCCCTGTGACTGAGAGCCCCTCAACTGAGGGAGATCTCAACCATGGAAGCTTGCTTCTTACCAGTGCAGGGGGAGCCTGGGATCAGGCTCCCCCTGCATCAGCAATAAGGTACAATGGGATCTAATGTGCAATCCCACAATCACAACTCCTGCCATCCTATTGTGCCTTTATCTGTGTTGTGGGGGCCTAAGTTGACATGACATGTCCCCTGGCTAGCAAAGTCTTCCTTCTAGGGTTTGCTTATGGTAGGAAAAATTGCACTATAGTGCACCAGCAGTGCAATTTTAGTGATATGGTAATATAACTACTGTATTTACTGAAATCCAAGACAAGGATTTTTCCCCAGTCAACATGGGTGGGAAAGCTCCTTGTCTTAGATTCAAGTACAACATGGGCAACTGGTGCCGCCTTAGTGGGGGCATGTGCCCCCCCACCCCGCAACCAGCCCCACCGACTTGGGGGGGGGGGGGTCCCCCCCCACGGGCAATCCTGCAGAAGGGCAATCCTGCAACAGCCGATTGCTGCAGCTGATCACTGGGATCACTGCAGCTGCTTCTGCGAGTGGCTACAGCCGCTTCTGGGAGCAAGTGACGGCCAATCACTGCAGCCAGTCCCAGAAGTGACTGCAGCCACTCACGAAAGTGGCTGCAGTGATCGCAGCGATTGGCTGGTGCTTGCAGGGAGGTCAAGGTCAGGGGGTGCACCAGCGCTGTCATGGGGTGCACATGCACCCCCTATG